ACAGTCATATACACCAGTGTTAGGGGTTATGACTGTGGTCACTAACACCAATGCTAGGGGTTATGACTGTGGTCACTGACACCAATGCTAGGGATTATTGTGTCCACCGACACCCGTGTTGTGGGTTACTATTGCGGCCACTGACACCAATGCTGGGAGTTACCATTACTGCCAACAGCAGCAACTATGTGCTTTATTCTACCCCACTTTCTCTTTAGAGTGTGTTGATGTAAAAAATACAGCAGGATCAAAATTTTAAAGGTGTTGAGGTGTGTTACAGCCCATTAAATTTGAATAGGCTGCCTGATATGAAACAATGCACTTCAGTGCATGAAAGCAAGCTATTGTGTGACCCTCTGTAAGTGTTGGGGGCCACACAAGAGACCCTCTATAAAGTTGACCAACACTTGTGAATATGATAATTTTGAATGAAGACACCATTACAGATATAAAAGAAAAAATGGGTGCTTTTAATGCATTACAGACAATGCTTAACACATACATGTATCTCCACACTGCAATCCTTTTAAAAAAAATAATTACATAAAATACAATAACTTGTACCTTTTTTATAGCACTAACAGATTGATAAACACAGTGCACTATTGAATTTTTGGTGACAAGAATAAAATAGTTTTGACCTGATCTCGAAATTTCCAATGTAACATTGCACTGTTTTGTAAAGCACTATGGTTTCGTTATGATGCTAACATTCAGGTATGGGATCTTAAATCCAGAATGCCTTGGATTCAGAAATCTACCACAACAAAGGAAATTGGGGAACTTTCCCAATTAAAATTTTATGGCAATAGCTTTCAATGTGGCAATAAATGGTTTAGCAGTACTCTGTATAAGCAGTGTAGAAGAAATTCTCTTTATGACCAGGCGAGTGTGTGACATTTTCTAGAAAATAAACGGTTTTGTACTTTTAGGCCTTCCTGTATAATGGAACATTTTGAGCAAGTGGCTTCTGGGTAAAAGATCCCATACCTACATATATAAGCACAGTTAATTTTCCAGTTTTTGAATGGTTAGTGCCACAACGAGTGCACTCATATCAGACAACTGCTAGTGTTTGACAGGCAGTAAGACGTACACAGTCACAAAGGTCTACTGGAAAACTTAACTGCATTACATTAACATAGCAGCTACCACAAGGGCAAAGGGACATTAAATAGAACTCCAGGACTGACCAATAAGCAGCAAGATGTGGAGCTAGTGCACTTGGTTATGGCATAAACAGTCAGTATTTTATCACCCACATCTGCCTTCAAGACAGAAGCACATAATTATGCAAATGTGTAAACATATAAAGCTTGTACTGAGGAGCACCCATGGCTTAATCAAATTCTCCATTAAACCATATTACACTGTCCCATTTTTTTAAGCCAACAACACATTTATATGCAAAGTTATATCATGATTCTAAACACCAAAACAATTTGTTTTAAAAGGTACAGAGTGTGACCATTTTTGAGGTGCAGGTTAAAGAGTGTCAAGGCACAACTGCTCTTCTGAAGAATTGAGGCTTGATGGATCGGTCACAACCAGATCTATATGATGCCACCTGCAAGTTCATACAACAATGAAAAGGGAATGTACTAGGATTACCTATAGCAGCTCACATATTTTTTCACAAAAATCAGTTGCCATCCTTTGCTGACATGCTTAGATTTGCAGTATATAGATTAAGAATAAAGTCAACTATAGGAGACCTCAGATCATGAGATTTGTCTTCCTAAACCCTTGAAGACTATTTTCTGGTCTTTTTAAATACCATGAATAAGGCTAGGCACACCTCTGTTCAGATTATGAGAGCTGCAGTATACACTCACTGTCTCCACTAGTAATCCTCAGATCAATTCGGTATTGCATTCAGTATACTTTGGACCCTACACGTTTTAGGGCCATTCATGCGTTTTATCACATATGATATGTACACGGGTTAGCCATTTTTGCCTTGGGTAACATACAAACCGCTGTTCAGTGCCATTCATTTAAATAGCTTGCCAACACACTATTACAGTAACAAGAAATACACCAGCACTGCAACATATATCAACATGCATCCCACCTACTTTAAAAGGGAAAAAAAAAAATCATGTCTGTTTTTCAATGAGTTAAAGGTGTGCCGCCAGCCCACTTAAATTTCAGCACAGTTATTTGTTACTTTTATTCAGGCATCAAAAAAGCACTGATAACTGGGCATACAATGTGTCACTTGTATAGCTCACCATCTTTTATTCAGGCATCAAAAGCACTGACAACTGGGCATACACAGTGTCACTTGTATAGCTCACCATCTTTTATTCAGGCATCAAAAGTACTGATAACTGGGCATACACTGTGTCACTTGTATAGCACACCATCTTTTATTCAGGCATCAAAAGCACTGATAACTGGGCATACACTGTGTCACTTGTATAGCACACCATCTTTTATTCAGGCATCAAAAGCACTGACAACTGGGCATACACAGTGTCACTTGTATAGCTCGCCATCTAAGTACTACCCTTTCAAAAACGTTCTGAGAATGTAGGCTTTTACAGGTCTGTGAAGAAAGCAAGAAATAACACTACCAAGGCAATTTCTGCAGAAAGGTTTGGAAATTCTCTCAGGAGTAGAGAGTACCATCACCCTTTTGCTAGTCTTTTTGGATTCCTTTGGTAGATTGTGGCACTGTTGGAGTGACTAACTAAGGAGCATATTTTATACATCAGTGAATGTGGCAAACATTCACCGCAGGTAAATCAGTCACTATTATTTAAAATACATGCATCAGAAAGATACATGCACAGTATATGTCACATTCACCGCTAAAAAATAAAAAAAATAAAAAAAATACCCCCCAAGTACCTGCACACAAAGCAGTGATATACCACAGCATGTGTGTAAAATCCAGTCATGTGCAGAGATTTTTTTTTTTTTTTTGTACCCTGCACATGTTTAAAGGGAATGTTTACTGTATACCTGGATGTAAATGATCTTATCAATATGTGGTTCGGGTTTACAAACTTTCCATTTTATGTACAGTATATGATTATCTATACATGCGAGCAGCCATATTGGCTTATTACATGCAGAGTCTCTGCTCCCTTCCTTGAAGTGTGGTGAGGTTGATTAACAGTACTACTAGAGTGAAAAGTTCCTTCAATGATCCAATCATTTGAAAAGCAAATTCATTTTTATGTATTTTATCTTCACATGATTGGGTATTCAACTTGAACACAGCTACAATTTATTAAGTGAAGTTTCACCACATTAATAAATCAAGCCCAGTGTTTGAGCTGTACTTCTCATCACAATGGTAGTCTCTGAGCTTAGCTCAACAGCTGATAAGAGAGCCTAATTGCACTGAACCTGTGAGAACTCGCTCTAATGGCAAATTCACAAACATCTACATTAACTTCATTAACAACAATGGAGACATAAGCTAATTAAATGTCCTATCAAAAAAAAGGTAAACATTACAATAAGTAAAAATGTGCTATGCTTTCCTTTAAAAAGCTCACTTTTCTTAGCACTTAAGTAGATCATTCCCTAGTGTATTACATAACAGTTACTAGGAATAGCATGTTTACAGGTAAACCATGCTTTTCTGGTTATAATTGTGAGCCACATGTCTATGGAAGGTATGGGCAACCTTTGACTTCAACTGGAGTGGAAGCACATAAAAATACATCATTAGGGCTTGTTCATACTTGTGCAGAGATCGGCATTTTTCTTTATTAGAAAAATACAGATCACTGCTTTCTATGTATGTATGATCACACATACATTTTATGTATGTATGAGTACTGTTTTTTATGTACCCTGTTTACACTAGAACACAGACGGCAGCTGTGTTTTATGTATATATGATCACTGCTTTTTTATGTACCCTGTTCACACTAGAACACAGGCGGCAGCTGTGTTTTATGTATGTATGATCAGTGTTTTTTATGTACCCTGTTCACACTAGAACACAGGCGGCAGATGTGTATGTATGATCATACATACATTGTATGTATGATCATACATACATTGTATGTATGTATGTTCAGTGTTTTATATGTACCCTGCTCATGCAAGAACACAGGCGGCAGCAGCGGAAAACCACATACAGTTTTCCACAGCATCCTGCGGTTCTTTGGAACCCTGCATTTCTAGAAGTGTCTGAAATGTCACTTTGGATATTACAATAAAAAGGGAAAACAGTGCCTTGTGTTGTAAAAACACAATGGACTGCACCCTGAAAGCCCACCTAGCATGGACATAAGCCCTAGCAGGAAAAAGGAACAGAAACACACACGCACACACCTGTGTTTTACTTACTATGTGCTGAAACTGAAGCAGAAAGTCTAAATTCAAAATGGTATTATGTCAGCATGAATTTTCCATTATTTAAGCAGATTATTATCCTGATTATCCCTAAGAGCCTAATGTTTGCGCTGCTCCTGAGACAATGCTGACAATTTCAGCAAGTTCAGCAGACTCCTGAATTGCATCTAAATGGTCACATGCAGTAACAGCTCTTCCCATGACAGCTAATATACATGAATAGTGGGGTACAGTTGTACAGGATACTTTTCTCATGAAGGGGATTTGTGACTGTAACAATACACTTCAATACAATGCATTTCAGATTTTCTGCAAGCTGTGGACTTCCCTGTTTTTCTGGACAGGTCCACTTGAACAGCTGGAGAAGAGTACAGTGCGTGTCCTTGGATTAAGATGAGGAAACTGACCCAATTTTACAGAACAGATGCCATGGCTTAAACCCATGCTTTCCAGAAGAGAGAAAATGACAGTTTTGAAATGCTATTTCTAAAACTGTGCAGCAAAATACAAAGACTTCCCATACGATGCATGTGTAAATAGACTGTAGATAGAAGGTCAGTTCTTCCCGGTATAACAATATATGGCTGCTGGCACAAGTCACATATACCTTGGAAATACAGAATGTTCTTCCAAAGCCTAAGCCATCCATGCAGGTATATGTACAAGATCCACGCAATCTTTCAGAAATTCCGCAGTTCTGGAATGTTGCGGTACAGATCCAGGGACTGAGGATTGGAGAATGCCCCGCGATGTGCTACCTCCTTTCCGGCGATGATTTGTTTTACAGCAACTTCTACTTTCTTCCCACTAATTGTGTACTGCAAAGAAAAGGCACAATATTATTACTATTATAATACAGAATTTATAGCACTAACAGTTTTCACAACAATTTACAATATAAAGGGAGAAATACAACTAAAGAGGGTTAGGATGGCCCTGCTCAAGAGAGCTTACAATTTACATTAATTAAATGAGAACAAGTGCAAGTTATATCTGCAAACATTTATTTCAACAGACTACTACTACCTGAATATTTTATGATGCTGAAAACATAACAAAAATGGCTGTAATACGATTAATTATGTTTTTCTCCTTTCTCTGAAATTTACCATCATATTTACCCTAAGTTCACACCTAAGCGTTTTCCACAGCATTTTGCAGAAACGCACTAGAGTCCATTTACACCCCAGTTGCACTGGGTGTGAGTTGGCATCCGATTTTCAAGCCATGCAACTTGCAAATTGTATGCCAAGTCACACCCTATTGTCCGCAATTACAGGACTTGGTCGGAGCAGCACCGATTTTTAAAGTAGTACATGTACTATTTTTTGTGCGTTTTGCATAGACATATGTGGCAGATGTCTTGAAAATCGCACCTGAAATCAGCATGTCCCCCGACTTTGAAATCACGCGACTCCACTGTAAAGTCACATAATTTCAAAGTTGGGCTTGATGTGACTGGGCTCTTAACATGGATTTCCTGTGGGACACATTCTCATCTCCACGTTTTAACCTGGTGCGTTTTTGGGAAAGGGTCAGGGACTTTTTTTTTTAACGCCAAAACGTTGCGATTTTGGTTCTATAGACTTCAATAGAAACACTGCAAAAAAAGCATGTAGTGCATTTTGCTGCGTTTTAAATCTGCTTAGCAACAAGGCGGAAAAAAAAAAAAAAAAAAAAAAAAGAAAAAAAACAAAATGCAGCAAAAACGCAACACAAAATGCAATGCAGGAATTGGTCAAATGCAAACTGCACAGGTGTGAACCTAGCCTTGTGTTTTAATCACTTCCCGACTGCCAGCCAGCAACGCACAGCAGACGGGAGGCTGCTGTAGGCAGAGCAATGTACCCATATGGTGCTTCGTACTTCCAGGATTCACAGCTGGGACTGGCTGATCGGCTATGTCCAATCACAGCCCAAATCTCTGTGTTTACAATCACTCATACCTCTGTACAGAGATAACGATCTCTGTTTCTCATCCCTGCTAAGCAGGGATGAGAAATTTACAGAGATCTTTTTGTAAAAGCAGCACACTTTACACATAGTTAGGCACAAATTTAACCCCTTGATCACCCTAAATGTTAACCCTTTCCCAGACAGTGCCATTAGTACATTGACAGTGTAGAATCTTATCAATGATAACTGTATCAATGTCACCGGTGATGTCAATGGCAGTTAATCAGTTCCCCCCAGCGTCAAATAGTGTTGGATTGCCATCCACAGTATCGCAGTTATATTATAAGTCACTGATTACCACCATTGGCAGTATAAAAATTCCAGTATATTCCATTTAGTTTGTAGGTGCTACAGCTTGCACACAAACTAATTGATATACAGTTATTGGGATTTTGTTTTTTAATCAAAGACATTATTATTATTATTATACAGTATTTATAAAGCGCCAATAGTTCGCTCAGCGCTGTACATTACAAAGGGGGACAGAACATGTGACAGAACAATACCAATACAATGTGATACACGAGGGGTTCGAGGGCCCTGCTCTTTCGAGCTTAAGACATGTAGCAGAATACATTTTGGCCAAAATTTATGAAGAATTTTGTTCATTGGATATGTTTTATAGTAGAAAGTAAAAAAAAAAAAAAAACATTTTTCAAAATTGTCAGTCTTTTTTCATTTATATTGCAAAAAATAAAAAACCCAGTGGTGATCAAATACCACCAAAAGAAAGCTCCATTTGTGTGAAAAAATGATATGAATTTAATTTGGGTACAGCATTGCATGACTGCACAATTACCAGTTAAAGTAGCGCAGAGCTAAGTAGCAAAAAAAGGCCTGGTCATGAAGGGGGTAAAATCTTTTGGAGCTAAAGTGGTTAAGCAAACAAAACCGTGGAACCCTACAAGATACAATCCATGTGTTTTAGGCTTGCTCACACCACTATTTCAGCATTCCGGATACATTTTGAATATGCATTTACACATGCTTTTTTCCTCTTTATTTTGACACTTGGAAAAGCCTTAATTTGCATTCCAGTGCAGTCTGGTATATTTACTTGTGTTATGATGCATTCCAGATGAAAAACATGCAGCATCATACTTTTGTTGAAAGCACTGGAACTGACTGCATACAGGTGAAACTCAAAAAATTAGAATATCGTGCAAAAGTTAATTTATTTCAGTAATGGAACTTAAAAGGTAAAAACTAATATATGAGATAGACTCATTACATGCAAAGCAAGATAGTTCAAGCCGTGATTTGTCATAATTGTGATGATTATGGCTTACAGCTCATGAAAACCCCAAATCCACAATCTCAGAAAATTAGAATATTGTGAAAAAGGTGCAATATTCCAGGCTCAAAGTGTCCCACTCTAATCAGCTAATTAATCCATAACACCTGCAAAGGGTTCCTGAGCCGTTAAATGGTCTCTCAGTCTGGTTCAGTAGGAATCACAATCATGGGAAAGACTGCTGACCTGACAGTTGTGCAGAAAATCACCATTGACACTCTCCATAAGGAGGGAAAGCCTCAAAAGGTAATTGCAAAAGAAGTTGGATGTTCCCAAAGTGCTGTATCAAAGCACATTAATAGAAAGTTATGTGGAAGGGAAAAGTGTGGAAGAAAAAGGTGCACAAGCACCAAGGATGACCGCAGCCTGGAGAGGATTGTCAGGAAAAGGCCATTCAAAAGTGTTGGGGACTTTCACAAGGAGTGGACTGAGGCTGGAGTCAGTGCATCAAGAGCCACCACACACAGACAGATCCTGGACATGGGCTTCAAATGTCTTATTCCTCTTGTCAAGCCGCTCCTGAACAAAAAACAATGTCAGAAGCGTCTTACCTGGGCTAAAGAAAAACAGACCTGGTCTGTTGCTCAGTGGTCCAAAGTCCTCTTTTCTGATGAGAGCAATGTTTGCATCTCACTTGGAATCCAAGGACCCAGAGTATGGAGGAAGAATGGAGAGGCACACACTGCAAGATGCTTGAAGTCCAGTGTGAAGTTTCCATAGTCTGTGTCGATTTGGGGAGCCATGTCATCTGCTGGTGTTGGTCCACTGTGCTTCATTAAGTCCAGGGTCAACGCAGCCGTCTACCAGGAGATTTTGGAGCACTTCATGCTTCCTTCCGCAGACGAGCTTTATAAGGATGCGGACTTCATTTTCCAGCAGAACTTGGCACCTGCCCACACTGCCAAAAGCACCAAAACCTGGTTCAATGACCGTGGGATTACTGTGCTTGTTTGGCCAGCAAACTCGCCTGACCTGAACTCCATAGAGAATCTATGGGGCATTGCCAAGAGAAAGATGAGAGACATGAGACTGAAAAATGCAGAAGAGCTGAAGGCCGCTATTGAAGCATCCTGGTCTTCCATAACACCTCAGCAGTGCCACAGGCTGATAGCTTACATGCCATTTCCACATTGAGGCAGTAATTGCTGCAAAAGGGGCCCAAACCAAGTACTGAGTACATATGCATGCTTATACTTTTCAGAGGTCCAATATTGTTCTATGTGCAATCCTTGTTTTATTGATTGCATGTAATATTCTAATTTTCTGAGATTGTGATGATTATGGCTTACAGCTCATGAAAACCCCAAATCCAAAATTATGACAAATCACGGCTTGAACTATCTTGCTTTGCATGTAATGAGTCTATCATATTGTCACGTACCTGATGGGAGACTGAAATGACAAGGTCAGCCTCAGTTGTGTCACTAGCCCTGACCCCACTGGAGTTGGAACAGAGGGAGTCTAGGACCCAGGGGAACAAGAGCGCCAGTAGTTGTTGTTGCAGATGATGACTCTGGAAGACCGATGATCTTCTTATTCAGGCACAGTAGTAACAAGCAGAGTAGCAGGTCTTGTAGATTGCCAAACATGCACCAGAGCAAGGCAGATAGTGAGGGTAAGAGACAGGAGCAGTGTCATGGGAATAGCCAGGGTCATCAACAGTTGGGCAGCACGGTACAGAATCAGAATGAAAGCCACGGTCAGGAGCAGAGCCGAAGTCAGGAACCAGTATCAATCAGGAGAGCAATCAGAGTCAGGTGAGGAACAAGCCGGGTCAGCAACAAAGGAATCACACAGGAACAAGCAGGACACGGGGGAGTTGAAGACCAGTCAGCACTCAACATGGGCAGAGACACTCTTTAAATAGGCCGTCTGACGCCAATCTTCGCCGTGCATGTGTAATTCGCGATTCGTCTAATGAGAAACTGGGTCTGTCCGCCCCTCTTCCTACAATTCAAGATAGCCTCAACCTCTTATTCTTCATTTCCCTCAACCAGCAGTGGAGCAGGCGCCTCCGGATCTCAATTGGGAAATCCACTTGAAATACGTGGTTTTAGCAAGGAGCAATGGAACATATTAGCAGGTAGTTTTAATTCGAAATCTACAGGGTTAACTTTTTTCTTAATAGTAAATGGTCCCAGGTATCTTGGACCAAGCTTTCTCGAAGGACAATTCAATTTTAGATTTGCCGTGGATAACCAGACTTTATCCCCTTGTTTCAGTTTTAAGTTGTTCCTTCTCCTTCTGTCAAAAAATTTTTTGTTACTCGCCTGAGCTTCGGAAATAGTTTTTTTGCAATATTTCACCGTTCCTCCTGAGGAACTCCATCCTTTCTTGTACTGCCGGGACAGCGGGTTCCACTGGTATTTCCGGAAGGAAGGAGGGGTGATATCCATAGTTGGAGTATAAGGGGGATTGCTTGGTAGCCAAGTGAATGGAATTATTGTATGCGAACTCCGCTAACGGAAGGAGAGATTCCCAGTCATCCTGTGAATATGAGGAGAAGCATCGGAGGTATTTTTTCCAGAGTTTGGTTCATTCTCTCCGTCTGTCCATTTGTTTGTGGGT